GCGATCCTGCCCATTTCGGGGGCGCAGCAGCGTTTCCCCGAGGTCCCAGTGTTTCCAGAGGAGACAGCTCTGTGCTCCGTCCCTCCCGCCGGCACAGCCCGCACCGGCCCCGCTGTCGGATCGCAGCTCCCGGCTCACAATTCCTGGCGAATTCTGTAAAGATGGCACAGGAAAAGCCAAACCCGAGCTGATATGGGGTCTGTGAATGACAGCYTGTTGTACAGCTTGCTTAACATGGTACCATCCCTGTACTTTTCCTTTTCCCCCACTATTTTTGGCCCTGTTCCCTACCAAAGCACCCCTCACCCATTCCCTCCCTCCTGCCCAGTGCCAGCTTCCCTTCCTGGAGCAGGTGGGACCCAAATGGATGCCAGGAGGGGTCTGAGGAACACCCCACGCTCTGCAGCATCTCCTCCTGCCCGTGCCCCGTGCCTGGCACCAGGGGGGTGAGTACAAACAGCTTTTTGCTCTTTCCTGATGTCATTAACTCTGAACATCTCCCGTCTCGCTGCGACCCAAGGAAACCTCCTGTTCCTTTATGGGCCCGATGTAAGCGACAGCCAGCGGTTCAGAGGCAGCCTCGGGTAATTAGCAGAGGCGCTCATTATGCCACTGCTCCCAAAGCCCTGAGCAGGACCAAAGCTGATCTCGAGCGCAGGCTACCTTTAAGGCTGGCTCAGAAAACTCAATCAAAGGCAGCCTGACAGTGGCAGGTCTCCCTCCCTCCGCCTGCCAGCAGGGAATTGCTCAGTCACCTGCACCCAGAATAGGACTCTGTCTCTGTTCCTGTCATTAATTTATTGCCTGTGAAATAGTGGGGCCCCAGAGATGGCAGAGCCCACCTGTTCCTTTGCCCGGCTCTGACATTTGGAGCCTCCTCGGCAGGTACCGGCACCGCCAAATGGTCCCATAAAGCATCCGCTGAGGTGGCGCTGCCAAGGGGCGCCCTCCCCTCCCCTCCCTCCCCTCCCTCCCGAGCCGGGGGCACCGGCCCGCCCGTGGGCATGGACACAGGCAACCAGCGCTTTTTAAAATAGATCTTATTCTTCCCTGGTAAAGCAATTTTCCCCGGTAAATGCAGTGGTGGGAAGCTCAAAGGRATGACACAAAGCACCCCGCTTTTGGTGACAGGGAAGGGATTAAGAGCAGCCCCCACCCTTTCAGCAGAGGTCATGTTTACCCCAGTATCACTCCATTTACCCCAAATGCACCACGCCGCTGTAATCGCTGCCATTCCCGACTCCAAATAAATCGGCCCTAAACGCTTTTCTGCTTTGTTAAAAGGGGACGGGAGGAGGGCGGTTTTAAAGCCGCCATCACAGTAATGCACGGAAATTACCATGTAGCATGCAGGGGGCTGAAAGCTGCACTTAAAATCTCACACCTTTCCCARTCCTTTGTGTCATGACAGTCCCAGAATGGCAGTGGCTGTTGGGGAGTGCAGCAGGGACCCCTCTCCTCCTCTCAGGCCCAGTGCTAATCCTGGGTGCCGAGTGCCCCATCCCCTTCCCGGAGCCCCGGCAGGACCCTGCTCWGCCTCCAGCTCCAGCTTTTGGCTCGGCTGCTCAGGAACAAAGGCACTGTGCTTGCTGTCCACAAACCCAGCTGACTCCACACCTGAGCAGGTGTCAGGAACAGCACAGCTCCAGAGTTTTCCAAAAAATGGGCAGCATGGAAATAAAACTATGGGGTGATCAGAAACAGCGCACCCATGTCAGACCCACAGGAACCTCAACATTAAACCTCTCTGTTTGTCCCTCATAGCACAGGAGAGCAGAGAGACTCCGTGCTAATCACAGGAAAAGAAAGTTTTTACAAACATCTCGTAAACAATCCTTAGGAGAGAGAGGGAATTCTCCACCTTTGCTCCAGGGCTCCGTGATGGCACTGCCCACCCCAGCACGGGGCTCCAGCTCACACTGAGCTTTTCACATCTCCCAGAGCCACAGGGATCTGCTGCTGGGGCTGGAACGCCTGGGCTGAGGGATCTGCTGCTGCCACAGCCCTTCCACAGAACTGAGGGATCTGCTGCTGCCACAGCCCTTCCACAGAACGCTGCTCCTTCAGGCAGAGAGGAGACAGAGTTTGGGATGAATCACACCACAATATGTAGGCAAAGTCCCATTAATGGCACCACTCGGAGGCACTGCAGCTCCTAGTCAAGAACTGGGAGCTGGAAGCCATATTTATGAGTGAGATATATCCACAGAGGGAGCAATAAACCGCAAAGCAAAGTATGAAGGTTTGCAGCAAACGCTGTAAAGTTTTACACTCCTGAAAACTGGGAATAAAAGATGTACCCATTTAAAGCAGAGTGGATGGAAAGGGTTTGCACAGGACTATAAAACAGCCTTATAACAGTTAATTGCTACTTTCTTGCTGCAGCCCRGAGAAATTCAAACCAGGAAAAGAATGGCTTAAATCCCCATCGAAGAGTGGGAGCACAAAAAGGAGAGCGAGAGGCAGGGAGATGAGTGCAGGCAATGGGAACCTTTTGTTTGGGATCCTCCGCACAGGCAGAGAGGAAACGCCTTTTGTTCGTGGTGCTGGGCTGCTCTCGCTCCCCTCTGTGCACAGAACCTCTGGGGTGAGGTGTTAATTGGGCATCATTTAACCAAGATCACCCTGATGCCCACACAACAGCGACTCAGCCAAACATCTGTCCCGAGAGCAGGGGCAGAGGGAAGGGCAGGAGCGGGTGGAWTCCTCGGACCCCGACGGCAGCCGTGAAGCGCGATATTTCAGACCACAGAAATACAGCGGAAAACTCAAAATGTTTTCTGCAAACGCCCCTGGCTCAGCTTGCCCGGCCCGCAGGGCTCTGGCAGGGCCCCACAGCCCCATCCTGCAGTGTCAGGATGCTGCTTGATGGCTCTGCTGGCAGAACAAAACCATTTCACCGTGTTCATGACGCCCTTTTCACACCTCACACGCTCCGCTGAGGGTTTGGCAATGGCAGGTCTGGCACTGAGGGGTTTGTGAAGCAAATGCACCTCGGATCTACAATTGCATTTATGAGCTTGRCGATGATGCGGCAGCTCCTTCGCTGTCACTCCTAACGACGGATCTTTAGAAAAGCAAAGGCCAATTATACAGATTTGGAGTCGGTAATGAGCCTGAAACTGTKTGATCACTGCGGCTCCAGCTGGGCGAGCGGGAGGAGGAGATGCAGAGAAGCGCGGGGCTCTGCTGCCRCTTTGTGGAGAAGGATTTGTCACCAGCGTGTCCCCTCCGCTTCTCGGGACAGCGGCGAGCGCTGCCGGGAGCGGCACAAGAGAGTTACTGTCGCAAAAACAAAGTTCCGCAGAAAACTGGAGAGGAAGCGCAAGTTCTGCTGACAACTGCGCCCAGCCTTAGCCCGGAGCAAAGTACACAGAGGGGAGGAACACACAGGGTACAACAGGGTTACGCGGCGGAGGAGGAGCAGCTGCTCGCGGCAACATGGACGCACCCGCCGTCTTCACGGAGAAAGAGTTTTACCAGCAGAATTTTAACCCTCAGGCGTATTTAAAAGAATACTACAGCATGAGCAGCAGCCCGAAATGGGCACAAGAGTTCATGAAGCAGAACCTGAGGACGCTGCATAAAATGTTCTCCTTGGGTGAGCAGCGCCAGCGTTCGGGGCACGG